TGCAGTAATAGTTGCCTCTTCAACACTGATGGAATCCACCCCAGCAGGCTGGGTAGTCGCATGCTAGCGGCTAACATGCAGCACGCTGTTCAGACGTCTCCCTGACTATTTCCACACACCCCCCTTTCCAGCCGTGTCATCTCAGGCCACCGTTTCCACTGCTAGAAACTTTTCTTCTTCGTCGATGCCGCTGACGCCTGCCATCTCGCTCTCTGGCACCACCCAACGACCAGAGGCTTCTATGCCAGTACAGCGACCCATTTCTGTTTTAACCTTAACCAACATACACAGAAGGTTGGTGACTCAGGTTGGAAAAAGAAAGTCCACAAGGATCTGTTTGAGTTTGTCGAATTTAACAGAAGTTCCGCGTGCTCCACGGTCTATCACGGGCAGTCAGAGTGATAGTATATCAAACACATTTAAACTGGCTCTATTAAATGTCAGGTCTTTAGCAGGTAAATCATTTTTAATCAATGATTTTATCACCCAGCACAATCTGGATTTTATGTTTTTAACTGAAACTTGGTTAGACCAAAACAACAGTGCAGCTGTTCTTATAGAATCAACTCCTCCCAACTTTAGTTTTATGAGTCAGGCAAGACTGCATAAGAAAGGGGGTGGAGTAGCTATTTTGTTTAATGATTTATTTCAATGCAAGCAGACTATGTATGGACACTTTGCTTCTTTTGAATATGTGGCCCTTCAGTTGAAATGCTCCTCTTGAGCTCTTTTCCTAAACATCTATAGACCACCCAAATACTGTGCAAGCTTTTTTGATGATTTTACCGAGTTGTTGTCTATAGTGTGTATTGACTTTGACCGCCTAATCATTGTTGGTGATTTTAATATCCATGTTGACAACCCTGAGGACAGAGGGGCTAAAGAACTGTTTTGTGTTATCGACAATTTTGGACTGACTCAGCATTTCAAGGGTCCGACGCACAATAAGGGGCACACCCTGGACTTAATTGTATCAAAGGGTCTGAACATCTCTAAAGCTTGTGGTGACTGATGTTGCGCTCTCCGATCATTCCTGTGTTTTCTTTGAGAGCTCTATTACCGTCCATACAATTGCTAAGAAAGAGGTAACCGCTAGACGTCACTTAACTGAAAATACAGAGGAAATGTTTGCTCAGATTTTTACTCCCTCAATTGCCCATGCTAAGATTGCATTTTTCTAGAACTTGTTGACAATATTAATGTAATAAAATGAGCTGTGGTGGTCTGTTAGGACGTGAAGATTTGTGGCGCACTCATAACGCGCAGGGCATGATTGATTTTTACTGTTGGGACTCGGGTTTGAGTCCAGCATGAACTTTTTTGTTATTTTCATGTCGATGCACATTGAATATTATGTTTGAATAGAGGATTCGTAATATTGTTTGCCGACACCAACATTCACGACCAAGCAGCATTTTAAAGTCTAAATATCCCCAATGACATTTATGCTGCTATCTTTGCAAAACGAGGTAACAGTCACATCTTATCTGGATGAGTGCTGCACAATACCGTTTTTTACAAGGGATACATGTGTGGGTAGTTTTTCATATTAAACATGATCGCTGGTAGATAGCCACAGAAATCGTAACACAATTTAATCTGGGCGGCAGAGTTCCCGTTATAATATTTTTTCGCCGGTCAATATGTCCGTTAAAGTTGAAATCTTCCGGACAAAATGAGAAAAGTGCCGGTCAAAGGACTTCTTTGTTATTTATTGTGCTTTAAAACAAATTGATATGATTCGATATTAAACAAACTAATCATAGTAGATTAACTATTCAAAAGTGTTCAGTAATTTACAATAACACGGGAATAATAAACGGAGCGCTCTCTCCCTCTCCTGACAGCCCTTCAGTATCATGCAACTCGCGGATCAGTAATGACTGTGACCCGACAGTAAAACTAAACATATCTATAACTAGTTTAGGTAGATTGAGAGGTAATTAAAATAGCTACGTGTGATATTCTAACCTGAAGAGTGTGTTTTGTCCGCTCACCGCTGCATGCAGCAGCTGATCTCTCTCTCCCGTCAGATTAGACTCGCATTTATGTCCATATCGATCAGATCCAGCTAGTTCTAGCTAATGATATGACTACCTGCTTATTAAAAGACACCTAAACAATAAGTGTCGCTATGCAACTGTGTGAGGCCGCAAAGTATAGCGCAACATTATGCATTTGTTTACATGCCCACCGGAACCCCGAGGCATTACCAACAGATCAACGCACAATCAACCCATCCAGGACATCTCTTTCTCCACATTAAGTGTTAGACATTAGAATTCACTATTCTTGTCTGTCACATACTCTTCTTGTCTGTCACATAAGTGGCGCAAATTGCGCAACTGATGCGTTATTGCGCTAAACGAAAATTATTTTGAACGGACACTTTGACCGGAGAGATTTCGATTTGCCGGTCTTCAGCATATTTTACCGGTCGTAGTCCGGTAATTACCGGCTAACGGGAACTCTGCTGGGCGGGTCACATTTTAACGTGGGCGGGTCCCAGTTCCGTGGGAGGATCACAATTTAACACAGATGAAGCCTTCTCCACGCTGCTTTCAAACTGTGAGTAAACATCGTGTGCTTCACTTGGAGGCTGTCTGAAGGTATACACAGATGGACTTGGACATTAACAACGATATTCCGTAATAAGTCTGGAAACAATAGCTGGTTTAAATGATTTATTCGAGCAACTCGTTTGTCTTGTTGTAGTCCTCGCTGTTCGCGTCCGGATATCGCCATCGTAATCACAACCTCACACACTGGTACTGGATGTGCATCAACGTGTTCCTAAGAAGCCAAATATACCAAAAGATGTATGTAAACGACAGAAGAAAGCGATCGAAATGTGTATTTCAGTCGAAAGCCACGCACCCCGCGGAAACGAGTTGATTGGGAAACAAGTTGATCGGGAAACAAGTTAATCCGGAACACCGGTCCCTCCGTGGTATCCCTGGGGTGAAAGCAGGCCTCTGCAACAGCAGCACCAGGACAGGTGGAAAGCAGGCCCCAGCGGTGGTAAAATCCTCCTCCGCACAGCAGCACACGCCCGGTGGAAGCAGGCCAAGCCCGAAGCGTGGATCCACTCCGTCTCTCCGCGACGACTCCGGGGTAAAAACCTCTCCAGTACAGCCGTATTCTACAGGTGGGAGCAGGCCTCCGTAGATCGCAGATCGCAGGCAGCAAACAGGTGGAGCCGCTCCGTCTCTTCGCGACGAGCAGGCCTCCGTAAATCGCAGATCGCAGGCAGCAACAGGTGGAGCCGCTCCGTCTCTTTGCGACGTCTCCGGAGGAAAAACACCTCAGTATAGCCGCACTCGACAGGTGGTAGTAGGCCTCCACAGTTCGCAGACAACTAAAACTACTACTTGTATAAGCAGGGATGGCTAAAAGTTTGTAAGCAGGAGAGCTAGATGCTGCTAGATGCTAACAGATACTAACAAATGCCAGATGCTAACAGGTAAGTGCGAGCCTGTAGAAATTGCGACTGCCTCCAATGACAGCGTAGGTGTGAGTGACAGCGTAAGTGTGTGAGTGACAGCGTAGGTGTCACTCACAGTATTATTAGATCTCAGCGCTGCCTTTGATGCTGTTGACCACAACATATTGCTAGACCGTCTAGAAAACTGGGTGGGAGTTTCAGGAACAGCTCTAAATTGGTTTAGTACCTACTTAAAGCACAGAACAAACTTTGTCTCAATAGGCTACACATCAACTTTGACAAATATGTCATGCAGGGTTCCTCAAGGCTCCATCTTAGGACCTTTGCTTTTTAATATTTATATCCTCCTCTGGCTGAAATTATTAAAAAGAGCGATCTAAGCTATCACATCTATGCAGACGACACCCAGATTTATTTTAAAATCACACCAGGAGACTATTCTCCGATTAGAACACTGAGCAAGTGCATTGAGCACATCACTGACTGGATGACTCAGAACTTTCTTTCAACTGAACCAACAAAAAACTGAGATAATTGCTTTTGGAGCAAAGAAGGACCGATTAAAAGTAATCACAGAGCTTCAGTCGGCAGACTACAAAACCACTAATAAAGCCAGAAATCTAGGTGTAGTGATGGACTCAGACCTGAATTTCAACAGCCACATTACAACAGTCATTAGGTCTGCATTATCACCTGAAGAATATATCGAGGATTAAAAAACTAATGTCACAACAGGACTTAGAAAAGCTTGTCCATGCTTTTATTTTCAGTAGACTCGACTACTGCAATAGTGTATTCACAGGGCTGACAAAAAAATCCATCAGAAAACTGCAGCTGATTCAGAACGCTGCTGCTCGAGTCCTCACTAACACTAAAAGAGTGGATCACATCAGTCCGGTTCTGAAATCTCTACATTGGCTTCCAGTCGGCCAAATAATTGATTTTAAAGTACTATTGCTAGTTTTTAAATCATTACATGGTTTAGGACCAAAGTATATTGTTGAACTCCTACATAATTACGAGCCATCATGGTGCCTCAGGTCTTCTGGGACGGGTCTGCTATCGGCTCCGAGAGTAACAACAAAACATGGAGAGGCAGCATTTAGCTGTTATGCCCCGACACTCTGGAACAAACTACCCAAATCATGTACGTCCGCAGAAACGCTTACTATTTTTAAATCGAGACTAAAAACATATCTCTTTGCCGCTGCTTTTAATTTAATTGAGATGCTCATATTCGAACTACAGTATGCCTTTTTAATGTATTGTATACCTGTGGTGTTTATTTTTATTATTTTATTATCTTTGCTTTGTAATGCCTGTTGTAAAATGCTATTATATAATGTGTTTTTACTGTATTTATTCCTAAAAAGTCTTTTAATTTGTTTTGTAAAGCACTTTGAATTGTCGCGTACAGAAAAGTGCTATATAAATAAACTTGCCTTGCCTAATACAGCAGTTCAGAAGTGCAGCTCCCAGTCAAAGCCTTGAACAGGAAGCCACTAACTAGGAATGATGGACCTTGAGAAAGAAGAATATTTAGGAAATGTCTTACCTGTTCAAGCTTGAAGATGTGCTGGTTGAAGTAGTGCTGGAGACGTTCGTTAGCAAAGTTGATGCAGAACTGTTCGAAGCTGTTGTTTTCATAATCCTCAAATCCAAAGATATCGAGCACTCCAATTGACAAGATCTGAGGAGAAAAAACAAAGAAAGCATGAAAACAATATTTCCTCATAATAATATCATTATTAGGATTTTAAAAGCTTAATAATAATAAATTATATTTCTATAGCGCTTTTAGACACTTAGACACGCTTAGACACTGTGTCGTTGGTATAAGTTATACATCTTAGTGTAGAGGTGGTTGTGTTTTCAACAAGAGTTTAATATGCAATACTAAAATGTATTTGTTTAACTCATGGGTGATTTCATGAGTCGATGTGTTTGTGTTGCCCAACCTTGGTGGTCTCCTCCAGGTCTTTAATATTGAGCAGAGCGTGGTTGATCCTGAAGACGATCCAGTCAAACAGAGCACTGTACAGGGACTTCGCCATGGAGTCTCGCACCGTACCAGCCTGCAGGTAGACACAAACAACTTATTCAAAACTGAAAACGGTGAATGAGGAATACAAATGTTTTCATTTATCTTTGAGTATTGATTGAACAAATTAGATACACCATTGTAATAACAAGTAAGCTTTAGAGGAGCTGGTTGGTGGGTTGTGTTACTTGTGCAGAAAGCCGGGCTAGCTCTTTCTCCCGTGCTTCCTGGTATTTATGCTAAGCTAGGCTAACAGGCTACTGGCTTTATAATACTGTCGGACATGAAAAGTGTGTCAACTCCTCATCTAACCATCAGCAACAAAAAGCAAATAAGTGTTATACCCAACATGTCCAACAATTCTTCAACTTTAGGTTTATGAGGAATAGTTGAGCAAAGCTTGAAGAGTTTGAAGAATCTAACATTAAAAGATAACTCCAGATTGATATCGTTCCTGTTTCACAACGCTCCACACATCTGTATCAAATCAAGTTTTATTTATATAATAAATAATAATAATGCATTACATTTTTTATGAGAGCGCTTTTACAGGTGCTCAAAGCGCTTTACAAGTACACATTACACATATTAGACATGTAAGAGTCATTACTGCGGACATTACCCACAGGAGCAAATGCGGGTAAAGTGTCTTGCCCAAGGACACAACGGCCTGACGCAGTGGCGGCCGAGGCGGGATTCGAACTGGAGTTCCCCAACGCCCCTTGATCTGATGACCAACGCTCTAACCACTGCGCCAAAAACATTTAAAAGCGATCTATGGTCGAGCCAAAGTGCTGCATGTAATACAAACACATTACTACAATCTCAATAAAAGACAATAATTTACAACAGAAATATAAAAAACAAAAACACAGGGAATAGTCAGGAGTCTTGCTCAGCTCTGACTAGAAGGCCAGGGAGAAGAATTGTGTTTTTAGTGAGGATTTAAAAAACCCTAGTGTCTGGGCCGACCTCACATGGAGAGGCAGAAATGTTCCAGAGCCTGGGGGTCAGCTGCTGCGAAGGCTCGGTGCCCTCGAGTTTTGAGCCTGGTCTTGGGCACTATCAGCAGCAGCTGGTCAGCAGACCGTAAAGCTCTGGCTGGGGTGTAGCGATGGAGGAGTTCGGCTCCATAGGCCGGAGCCAGCCCATTTAGGGCTTTGAAAACAAATAAAAGGATTTTAAAATCAATTCGGAACCGAATTGGAAGCCAGTGTAGTGAGGTCACGCTTTTTGTGGCCAGTCAGAAGACGTGCAGCTGCGTTTTGGACTAGTTGCAGGCGTTTGATTGAGGCCTGGTCCATACCCACATACAGAGCGTTGCAATAGTCCAGTATTCAGGTAACAAAGGCATTAATAACCCTTTCTAGGTCTTTAAAAGCAAATAGTCTTATTTTAAAAAATGTCTTGTTACAATGCCCTTTTCTACAGGTCCAGCATAAAGAAAAAACAGTGAATGAAGGCATTGATAAATTGAAAATAAAATAGATTTATGTTATGTTCTATATTTGAAGCTCAGACAACAATGGCCCCGTTTAAAAAGGTTTTCTGAAGAGCCAGATGTGCAGACAGTCCCTATTTCTCCTTTACAACTGAACATTTATAGCTCGAGTGTAAATCACTTCCTTACTGCACTGGCAGCAGTCACTGGACTCAGAACTCTTACTGGAAAATGTATAATGGTTCCTAAAAAAGCTACAATTCAGATTTAAATGAAAAACAGGACAGCACTACCAACCAAACACATCACTAACATTTTTGGCACAGACATGCTGGCAGACTGCACTTATCACAGCAGGATGTCCCCGGGTCTTTATTATTGTCATTACCACATCAGCTTTTCTTATGAAATCTGCCAAAACAGTCAGGCCTGATGGAAATATTAGCTTTAATGGGCTAGACATAACACTTTCATATAATGAGGACATTGGGATATTTGGAAGATATGAAAAAGAATAGAGTGCTAGATAAATGCTCTGTGTTTTTTGAAAGCAAGGAGATTATTTGACAAAATCCTTGTGAGATTACTGAAAGAATATTTCTAATCCCCATATCCGCTGGAAAGATTTGACCTTTCAGCAGCAAAGATGAGCCATGGTTTCCAGAAACAAAACAAACCATGAAATGGCTACTCAAAGTTAAAATTCCATTGTTTTTAGAAAACTCAGACCAAACATGCCTTCCATGAGTCAGGACAGATAATATTTGGAACATACTGTGGTCTAATGACCCATAAGCTTTTCATTATTTAGAGGAAGCTGGACTTAAAACACAGAGGGAAAGAGTCTCATAACTCTGAGCAAATGGAGAAAAGTCATTACAGAAACGCACAGATTTATTTGAGGTTTTCAAGTGTATGATTTTAGTTAACAGGCAATGAGATTGTTGTGACTATCCGAGCAATATTTACATAGAGACCACCCAGTGAGCTACCAAAACAATCTCTGTTTTTTCATATAAAAAGGTTCTGAAATATCCAACAGGCCAGAATGAGGTTGTATATGTAACACACCACCATCTTCTAGGAGAGTTTGTGGTAAGAAAAACAGCTGGGATAGATGATCTTGGTGAACATTGTGAGCTATTTGTACTGGATTATAATGAGATGATTTAAAGAAACTCACTGTATGTGAACATGATTTGATTAAGATTTGATATGATTGGTATTTGATGTATATAGCAACCATGACAAGTTTAAAAGTTGACCAGTGACGTGCGGTGAGGTTCATGGCTGGTGAGGCACTGACTCTTTCAGAGTCAGATTTACAAATATTATATTTTGACCTTAATCGAAATATTCAGTTATTTTCAAAAGCTTTTTTAGTCTGATGCTTCAATTCATTTTAAACAGACCGTTCAACAAAAGGTTACCCACAATCTAAATATTGGATTGTTCTTTCTTAGTAAGATTCCATTTGCATTATAATTGTGGTCTTACCTTGACTTGAAGATGAAGTCCATGCTATCCTTCTGGACAACAATCTCTATTACTTTTTTGTAAAAGTCCTCCTTATCTTCCTCTAGTTTCAAAAGTCTAGTTTGTTGTTTGCGTTCCGTCTCTGCGTAGAATAACAGTAGCAACAAGAACCTGTGGGCTCACTTGCGCCCCCTTCAGTGGCAGAGGTTATGGCTGCCTCCCCTGGTGCTTTTTTCATTGCCGTTGTATGATGAGACCAGCGAGCCTAAATATCATATATACGTGAAATAAGTTATTTAGAGACTATGGATGGCGAGGATAAATGTTGTCAGTGCGAGCGGTAACGTGGAATATTGTTGTTAGCATCTGGTTAGCTAGCTATGCTAACGGATATAAAGAGCTGTTGCCTGTTTCTACACCAAGGTGGAGGAGAGTCCTCTCCTGTCAGACTGAGAGGATCTTATAACGTCAGCTCAGTGAGGTAAAGGACTCTCAGTGTTTAGATAGTTCACTTTAGTGTAAGTTATCTCAGTGGGTCTCAAACGGTTTGGTGACCATTTATGTAAACAAGTATTTAGGAGGAATAGGCTACCTTTATATGATCATTATAGTCATTAAAGAATAAGAGAATAAATGAAAAACGGGTATGAAATACTATAGGACAATAACACAAGAATACCATTTAAAAGGGGAGTGATTAGTAAAATATCCATAAAGAAAAAGTAAATCTGTGTACAGTTCTGTTTCATATGGATGTTGAGAGATGTATCCATAGATCTCTTCATTTTGCTCTCAAAGTGCACCAGATTGATGCTTTTAACTTCAATATTTTAAAAATAATCTTCCCGGGGGAGCAAGCCCCCGGACCCTCCTAGAGGAGGTTAGGTCCACACCCACCTAAAACATGTTCACATGGATAGGATACTAAATACATTTGCACACTTTTCATATGGTGGCCTATGTCCATATGTTTCTGTTTTGGTGGTCGTGCCACAACCGTGCATGTATGCACAGGTCATAGGTGCGCTATACAATAGCACACCCTGCAATATGTGTGAAAGACAATAGACTTTACAGCATGTTTTTTGAAATTGAAGTTGCGTTGGTGTTTGTGTGTTGGTTGTTGACGGCAGTATGTGCCCCCCCTTGGTAAATGATTGCCCCCCCCATTTGATTGTTCTAGAGCCGACCCTGTGGGGGGACCCTGATGTAAACAAGACGAAAGTCTTTCTCTGGTCTGCATCCCCTTAACAATTGTATGTTTGAGCTGTACTGTACTGTACCCAATATACAAGCTGTTAATAAACTTTTCAATCAATCAATCAATCAATCAACATTGGTGACCTACAGTGAGATGGTAACAGGCATGCGCTTAGGGCCCACTTTCCAGCCAGTTTCTGTGGGGTGACGCATTCTGAGGTGAGGCAGAGCTCATCTGTGCCTCACCTTACCACACAGTAACTGGCTGGAGCGCGCTCACAAAATAAGTGCCCGCGCTAAATTAGTGCCCGCGCTCCAGCCAGTTACTGTGGGCCAGAGCCCTAGAGAGATAGGCAGAGCTCGTCCCTGCCTCACTTCTCTCATCGCGCCCCGTAGTTGTAGCGGAGCTCGGCACATTTGCTGATTTTGACTATAAAAAGCGATTGGAATCAAACATAAATCACATTTACAAAACAGATCAGTGGAGACATTTTATTATTATTACTATTTAGTTTTTCTTTAGTTGTTTTTCCGTTACATTGGAGTATGACAGGTGAGGCTCTGCCTCCCCTGACTGCACGTCGCTGAAGTTGACTAAATACTTGTGCATTACAGTATCTGAGTAAAAACCCTTAATTCAAACTGGCACTGTATCCATGTTCCCTCTTCACTTTCAGATGGCTCTCATCTGCAGACCGTAACGTGTGTTTGTTTTCAATGAAAACCGTAGAGGGACTTGAAATGCATTCCTGTCTTTGTAAACACACTGAAGGACTTGGTGCATGTGTGCGTGTGACTGTGTAGCCACAGACTGTAAAGCTGCAGTGAGTGAGAGGAGTGCAGGCGGAGATCCGGCCCTGGTGCACGCTGCCCTGTAAACACAGCCGGGTCAGACTGAAGACCCAAGGCTGCAGCGACGTCATAGACTTGGCAAACTGCCTTCAGTTTCAATACTGATAATTACTTTATATACTTTTAAAAAATTATCAAAAGTCATACAAAAACTCATATGGCCTTATATTTAACTCCAATTCACTACTACAGTAAACAGTATGCACTAAACAGTAATTTCGTTTGTTTGTTTTTTCCAGGTGTGAGCAGCTCCGTAATTTCCTCATATGCATTGCATTCTGGGACAATAGTGGACATTACAGGGAAAATAGAATTACACTTTTACATAAGTATAAATACTTTGTGTATTCAGATCACTTTAAAAAGTTGTCTGTTATTTACACTGTAGGAAAGTGATGTTGTATGAAAGTAATAGACATTAATCATGACTTGGGGGAACTGGAAAATTGTAGTAGCACTGCACAACCAATCACTGAGGGAATATCAGGATTTATAAATCCATTGGCCTGTGAGCACCGAGACGAAGGGGAGGGAATGTTTTGGTGCATTTCTTTGTCCACATTCCTAAAGTCGCCATGTTTAATACGTCACACTAGTTTGATATTTAAGGTTAGCACTGCTATTAGGAGAAGAGTCTCACCTCTGAAAGTTTGTAGGGAACAATCAGCTTCTCTCCGACAGTGACCGTCTTCCGTGTCGTCAGAGCTTCAAACAGCATCTCTTCTTTCACCTGATTGGAAAAGCGAGAGAAAGTAAAATACATTTAATCACAACTGATGATAAAACATCATCATTGTTTAAAGAAAAGCAACAGTTTGCACTGTGATTACAGCATCCTGGATAATTTAAGAGAAAGTCCGACACTCCTTTAAAGTTGCCTTTCGTCTCTGACAGTGCTTCAGTATTTGTGTAGAGGTTAGCAGCTGGAAAAAGTGCTTTAAACATCTACAGTAGTAACTAAATCGTCTCTTCATAAGACTACTTATGTTAAAAGACTACTTACATTAAACTTTTCTAAACTGTAAACATTAGGCCCCTACAGTATATGTATTTTATTAACTACTTCAGGCTGCAATGGAAATCTACAGTCTCCAGTCAGAGCAGGCTTATCATGTTGGACTTTGAACCATCCATCTTTTATGCAAACACACATTTAGACAATAAGCAGGAATAACAGTTTGGCAGTACCTCCAGTAGTTCTGAGACGACAGGGAGCACCTCTGGGTTGCAGATGTCTATCGAGTCCTCCCTGTAGGTTTTCCTCTTGTAGCGGATGTTTCCCAGGTGAAGGATGGCGGACAGCAGGCAGAAGATCCTAAACAAAAGTTCCGGTAATATTTTAGCAATGCCACAATGGAAAAATACTGTGGGGTTGTCAGCAGCTGGAATCCTTTTGCGTTTGAACTGTAACAACACGTTCCTCTACGCACAACCATTTCTCATTGTGGGGACTTTCATAGTACAGTTTATCTTTTCACACACTCATTTTGGTCGTGTGTCACTCACTGTTTGCGCGTGGAAGGGAGAAAGCCCACCATCTCCATGGCCTGCTGAAGCCTCTCAAAGTCATGCTTCAGGTCTTCTCCTTCAACATTGAAGCAGTCCTGCATTTAAAAAACAAACAGCACCCTGGTGTCATTAGGTTTACAGCAGCTGTTATGACAGCGGCCATCCCAAAGGAGCTGCTGAACAGTTACTATGAAACACGTACGTCTGCTGACATATAGTGCCCAAATGTTTTAGATGAGTCCAGCAAAGACGCTTACAATTGTTTCTTAGTTGACTTTGCAGCTGAAACAAATAAACAGCACAGTGGCATGAAGCAGACAGAATGAAAGACTCAATCTAAAATGAGCTCTCATTAAGAAGAGCGGGGGTCAAACATCAGTCTGATGTGCAGAGCGTGGAGTGAACAGCAGCTTGTGCAGGTTCTGCTCATGGAGCTGATAGGAGCAGCAGTTTATATGTTGTACTGTGTTTGAGTGATGGACAACAAGTTAAAGTATCATAGGGGAGAAACAGGAGTGCTGTCTGCTGAGAGGCCGTGCAAACCTTACACCTGCTCATTTCTGTAACATACAGTACTGTATAGGGCTTCCCCTCTTTAAGTATACAAGTAAGAGCAGGGCATCAGACAGGAGAATAACCCCAATCCTAGACTGTCACTCTATAAAAATAATCCAAAAAAAATTAGCAACTAAATGCTGCACAGTACGTGAAGGGGTATACTTGTAGATAAATCTGGACCTGGATTATTTGTTTACGAAAAGAGCTTTTCCCAGACTTGAACCACATGCTTTGATGTAACTACATAAGTACACAGTTCACTACACATACACCCTGCGTAATGTGAGCCCTGCTCTTTGCTTTATGGGCCCATTCCACTATGGCTGCCATAATTATCACATACCGAGGCCTCAGGAAGACAAACACTCCAAACATGAGGCTTACACTTACACCAGCGTGCCTCCCTTCAGCATCCCTCGCTCTCTGCTCTCATGGCAGAATCTCACACTGACCTAATGGTGACTCTGACTCTGATTTTATACTAGGCAGGGAAATCTACATTTACAATAGAAAAGTTGCTCTGACTTATTCTTCTCTCAGGTGAAAACAATCTGTCAATCTATCCTACATCTGTCAATGTAATAAAGAGCATGTATATATTCAAAACAAAGTCCATAATCATTATATATCAATTTGGAATTACATATACTTTGCCCACCTGTAATTATACAGGTATTGTTCTTGCTGTATTGAAAAAAAATCCTTGTATGGTTACTGCATATTTTGTGTATTATTATCATTCACTAATGATGTCAGAGTTTAAATTAACTACAGAATGCATCTCACAGTAACATTTAAATTGAATTCACTTACAGGTTAAAATTAGATTAAGAGAGAACCATTACCTGCTCCGTCACTATTGCTTATAGAAAACACTGCAGTGTCAATGATCAAAAAAGTCAAACAACAAAACACATCAAAAACAAACAAAGCTGAAATAAACACTATTCACACCAAACCAGGAAATGTCAACAAATGAGCAGAAGGGGGAGGAGAGGATTGTGCAACTGTGCATGGAAAATGTAGCTTGATCTAAAGGTGCTCAGGTGATCAGAATATCTACTTGTTGAGGTTTCTCCGACACACACAGACACACTGACAGCACACACACAGATACTGACCGGTTCACTATCACAGTAACTGTCCCAGTGCAGTTGGTGGGTTGACTTTGGCATCTGGAAATGTTAGGGCAGAGTTCACATGGGGAGCAGGGTTACGGTTAGACAGCAGCATTCAAATGAAGACACAAACTGTTCACTAAACACAAACGTATATGCAACTAATAGCAATGGAGGGACGTGCTGTTAAGACATAAGCATTAGCTGGACGTTACAGCTCTATTCGGTAAATACAGGCCAGCAGTCAGACATAACATAAACAAGCATTTAGACACTAAGAGAAAGAGAAAGCAATCACTTTATAACAAGCACATGTCATGATTAAAAACATTAAGTCGATAAAGCAGAAGGAGATGGTGGATTAAAAGCTGCAGGTTTGAAAGACTCATGAACATAAAGGATTCAGAAACCATTTTTTTAACCCATATCATGAGTTTTCATTATCAACTAAAAGGTTAAACATGCTTGAAATATTAAATCTACCACAGCGCAAAAACTCTGTTTTATGTAAAGGTAACTATTGGATTGCATGGTGTTCCAGTTTGTAAGGATGGACTGTTTTACATGTTTATTTCAAGCCTGTTCAAAAAGGCGGGAAAGACACCATCTAAGATTTATGAATCTGCTGATGAAACCAACATTTGGAAGAAATTACAACTTTCATAGAGTATGTCTGCTCGTCCATGCCTTTCTTAATTTTCTCAGCATCTTATCTGCTCAAAGCAAAGCATTTAAACAGCCAGAAAGACTCTGTCAGGGTGTCCTTAAACACACCATCTTTTTGTCTCAACTTATAACTGCATTACCACCACACAATACTAACATAACTTTGGACAAAAATGTTTAATTAATTCTGCGCTTATTGCTAATCTAATTGTTGTCATATTTGAGAATTCAAAAAGTTTATTTAAACTTAGTTGAATGCGAGTTTAAATTAATTAAAGAGTGCCACAGTGAATCTTAAAATCTATCGATTAGATTTATGATTAGAAAATTATAAAAGTAAATGTGGATATTATCCGACTGAACAAAACGTGATCCGTCTCTTAAATGTGTGTCAACCACAGACCTTATTTCAAGCTATTTTCCAAAATCCTATGGAGAAATTGCATTGCGTTTTTGTCGAGGGAACCGGAAGAAGCTTACTTCCGGGTTTTAGGATGCGTCACTGTATTGTCTTGGCTGGTCAAATGTACATGTGTGGTTAATGGCTGGTTAAGAGATGCAAAACCACAGGTGAGGCTCTCAAAGCAAAATGCACTATGATTTATAATAACAGACCAAAGTAAGACAAATGATAAACTGGTGAAAAAAACTGGCATGATTGCTACACGTGTTTGTAGCTTGTAAACAAGTCAATGTCATTGTTCTTTATTATGCCGACAGGGTGAGCAGTAAACTCTAGTTAACAATTGTAATGGGATTTTCTTTATGTAAACTTGACAGAATACAGAGAAGAAGAGATACAAGTGAAGGACAGAATAACAACAGAGTGCAAGGTTAGTGCATGCATTTATGTGTGCATGTGTGTTTGTGTGTTTGTATGTTTGCGTGTGCTCGTCAGTGGCCCGAAGGAATTCCTGCTTCTGCGTAGGCGGAAAGGATTTAAGAGGAGGAGGCGGCTCCCTGGCTGTCATGTCGTGACTGCAACAAGTTTTACACAACATCCACATTCCATACATGTAATGTGAGTTTATAGTGGCTTTGCTTCGTGGTTATGTGAAACCTGTTTTTTCGTTTCGGCAACACAAGCAACGGTTGTTAGTGATGGTGAACAAATGAGGACGTGTGAGGTCATTAGTCAAAGGTGAATGGAAACCAACATGTATGCGAAAACCACTTGAATGTAGTGACATCCACAAATCACAAAGTTCTGAACATATACACATAGATGTTTAAAATAAAAGTTTCTCTAAAACTATTGATTGTATGTAGATTATGTTGAAAGCCACCACCAGAGAATATGATTCCTTTGTTTGCCGATGTCTCCCTTTTTCCTGTTGGCAGGGACAAATAACTTTCTATGGGTTTTCTTGGGTCTAACAAGTGGTAAATCGCAACAATACATACACACATAACTCTACACATTAATTAACACTTTGGAACATGCATAACACACCACAAAAATCTAAACAGAAAGTAACAACAACCAGTGAAAGACAAACCCGGGCGACATTACTTGTCAAAGAGTTTAATATTATTGTCGTATTGAGAAGGTCTCACCTGACTGAGGTAATGGTATTCTTCAGGCTTCATGAGGTGAAAGGATTTCCTCTCTTCTTCACTTGCTCCTGCCAGCAGGTAGTAAAATACATGGTAGTTTCTAAAAATAAAAAAATAACAATTGTATTTCACTGTTAGCCAAAATAGAAAGACAGTTGCACTTTTATTTCAAAACAAGATTAAAGGTTACATCACTATAACACAGAGAAACAACAGCTAATGGAGAAACAGCTTTCTAGGATTCTCCCTATTGATTATAATGTTGTAACTTGAATAACTATCAGCAAAACCACTACCCAAAAGTGTCTTACAATACAACTTTATTTATAAAGCACTTTAAAACCTCCAGACCAAAGTGCTGTACAGTCAAAAAAACAAACAAAACGTACAAAAACAAAAATCACACAGCACAGCTCACACACTACAGTTTGGTCTTAAATGCAATAAGCTAGCAACGGCAAGACATTAATGTGTCCATTTAGCTTGGCAGTCTGGTAAGGTTTAGCAGTTTATGTTGAGCATGTTATCACACAAACCATAAGATGTATACACCGATCAGCCTATGACCACTCACAGGGGAAGTGAAAAAACATTGAATATCTAGAATGGCACCTGTCAGTGGGGGGGATATGTTAGGCAGCAAGTGAACACTTTGACTTCAAGGTTGATATGTTGGAAGCAGGAAAAATGCGGTTCAAGAATGGTTTGAGGAACACGACAACGAGTTCAAGGTGTTCCCCAGATCTTAATCCAATCGAGCATCTGTGGGAGGTGCTAGATAAACAAGTCTGATCCAATGGTGGACCCAACTCGCAACTTACAGGACCTGCTGCTAATGTCTTGGTGCCATATACCACATCACACCTTCAGAGGTCTAGTGGAGTCCTTGCCTCGATGGGTCATGGCTGTTTTGCAGCAAAAGGGGGACCTACACAATATTAGGCAGGTGGTCATAATGTTATGGCTGATGTTATGGTGAAATTCTTACATTAAGCATATTTAGTGACCAAAGAAAATATTCTAGCATGTCAGTAGGGTAACGTTAGCATGCTAGGTTTCTATTATTTCTAATTAGAAAGTATACATTTCAAAGGTATCCTCTCATTAGTTAGTTCGACCTGTTGGTGGGGCTTTCTAAAATGTTCATTGATTAACCAATTTCTAACTAATTCTATAAAAGCCACAAAGCTAACAGCTAAAGCAAAGTAAAAACTAGTTTGTGCATGTAAATGTGTATGTACATGTGCATGCACTGCTTCCCTGACAGCATTTAGCTGCAGAATAAAGGTTAAAGGTCAAAAGTGTGCAGCAGCTATGTAACCAGAGGACACACACAAACAAGCAATCCATCTCAATGAGATGTGGCTAACGCAGGGGGACCAGTGTGAGCCCCCCGTGGTGAGGTTAACCCTCGCTACACCTTCCAGCCATACTGTACCAAAACATCAGTGTCAGCTCCACTTAGAGCTCAATACACTTCATGAATCACACTTTGGCAAACTCAAACAACAGGCTTACTGAGGGAAATTCACTCAGATGTACTTGTGTGCCAATATTCAAACTTCATGTATCTCATATGTAAGTCAATACATTTTAGTTCAAATGTCACACAAAATAGAATAACTAGTTTGTGAACGTATTGCCCATGATCGGGACCTTATACATTACATATACAGTAGTTTAAATTAGGCTCAGATTTACCAGCTGCAAGATTAGATTGATGAACACATGAAGGCATCAATAATGCACTGGTATTCTGAGAAGGGCCATTCTGCATGACGAGTACTCTGAGTATATTTGGATGCTAATCGTCGTAAACAAGTAAGACTTAAATATTTTTACAGTGTGCTATTATAACTTTTAGGTAAATACAAGATACTACTACTGTAATAACATGCTGAAATATATACTGTGAAACAAATTTCACACAAGCGCTATATTAATTGTGTTAGATCAATGTTTATTCAAGAGCAGCAGTGTTAACTTTGATCAGATTATGGAATATGTTTTTGAGAAATCAAACATTTGACTTTTAGTATTTATTTAAGTATCTATTTTTCCTCAACATCTTTGTTGAGAAACTGCATCTCACAACAGCACTTTTTGTAATTGCTCAAAAACTAAAGCAGTGACTTTGTGCTTAATAAAACAATTTGGCTTTCTGAAATCATGATTATGTTCTGCTTATCTGAGTGCTCACCGCTCATTGTGCTCCTGATAGACCAGCCTCGACTTCTCCAGCAGGTATTTCTCCACATATGCTCTGAAAAAGGACAATACAATAAAAAAGGAATCAAAACAACTCAAAAACTATTTGTTTTTTTAAAATAAATGTCTCTGGGTTCTTACCCTCTCACAGTGCCGCTCTCCTGGTAGTTCACCTGAATGAACTTGCCAAAGCGACTCGAGTTGTTATTATGGGCTGTCTTTGCGTTCCCAAATGCCTGAAGGGGAAAGAGAGAAGGATATGGTAAATAAAAAAACATGGGAAGATGCCACATATTACAAATCTAACACACAGTTTAGCAACAGATGTTTAAGGTCATGTTCTGGGTCGACTTTAGGTGTGGATCATTTTTTTGTAGGTCAAGCTCACAGAGTCTCTGGCCTTGTGCCAAACATTGTCTTGAAACACTTTCAGCCTGGACAGCAAGCTTTTCCTCTTAACCCTTATGTTGTGTTCGGGTCTCCCGTGACCCGTTTCAAGTTACAATTATATAATAACTACGCTCGAGTTTTTTTTATCGGAACAAGGCTTCATGATATCCTCCACAACAGCTATATAAACACTACAAAACAGATTTTGACAATTTTTGCCAAGTCTGAAGGTCTCTAGAAAAAAAAAGTGTATCATTTGGTGTTCGGATCTGGGGAGACCCAGCAGAATTGTTTTGGGTGACTCGAGGTCTAATCTGGCCCAATCAAGCTTCATCTTTTACTTTAGACACCACACCCCCACCCCCTTCATCAACTGTAACAATAATTTTTCGCAACTTGCACCTGGTCTCCCCTCCATCTGCCCCCCTCCCCCCACGGGAACTCGACCTTGTGCAATATGTGGTGTAATGTGTTTTGGGCCATAAAATAAAATTACAACAGGAGTGTACGTTTATGAATGCATAATAAGTTAGTTATGATGTAGTTAAAACATTATTGGATGATAGTCTTTTTTTTGTGTGTTTTGGACTGAGATAAATCATGGGTCAAAATTGACCCGCGAACACCATGAACAGTAACAGCTTGAACACGACAACACAAGGGTTAACTAGTTTCAAACAGCGTCAGTTTGAGAAGGCTTAATAACATGACTACAGGATCTATTTGAGTCAGTCAAACAGATTGCCAGAGTTGGGATGAAGTCGTTAGGGCCAGCAGGCCTGATGGAAAAAAAGCTCCTCAGTGAGTAATGGGATCCATGTGGCCGTGTGGAACATGTGTAGTGGTTGTGCTTTAATAAGCCAGTCCAGTATTTCCCCTCGCAGCTCTGTTTATGTTGTATGGCTGCCTGGAAGGGAAGTCGTTTTTTTGGCCTGCATAAACCCTGCAGTTATTTGTAGCTACGCCACAAGTAAACAAATTCCTCACTGAATCACTTAGAGCTGCCCGAGCCCTACGTCTGAGGAATAGGAAACACCCCTTGACCCTACCCATCACCAATGCCATTACTAACAGACAAGCATGCTAGGAGAAGGCTAATGCCAAGCTAATAGCCTACATTTAAGGGCAATTGTTAAATGCTGAATTTCCCTGGAATTTCAAAAACATCTTGCCATTTTGTTTCAGGGTAGTCCATGATTTGCTGGTAGCGTTTAAACAACACAGAAGAAAGTAGAATGGCACTCTGATAGCGCAGACCTCTGCCAAGGCCCAATGATGCATTCACATTCACTTGTCAGTTAGTGTTTTTGCCAACTTCAGTCATAATGTGGAAACAACTTGGAAGCTATTTAAGAAAATGATGACTTATTTATAGCGTTTAAACAACACAGCAACAGATGTTTAGTGTTCACAGTTAATAATTTGTGTAACCTTCAACAGGACAGTTGTTTTTTTAATAATCCTTGAGACAACACAACGAGCCAAAAATGCAAATGATTAGTTTGGTCCTCTTTAACAGCTTGAAAGAAGCTAGAGAAAGCTTTGTGTGTTTCAGACCTAACATACATTGTTTAATGTACAATAGATGTAGGGTAGCCATTTACACAAGTTAAAAAGTCTTATTTTATTTATTTATTTAACAGGGAGAGTCATTAAACAACATTTCTGTTAATGTGCAAGAGTTAGCGAAGAGACTATTTTTCATCTTTATGTGTTTATAAAGGAAAATAAATCAAGAAAGTTCAAGTAAAAGTTTCTAAAACATTGTGAGGGTTTATATGATCTCAGTCAGTTTATCATACCTTTAATCTTTGTCTTCTCTACTAACGGCACAGCCTGGCTCAAACATCTGGATCACAGCAATGAACCGATTCTTAAGTTATGACTCACCAAGCTGAACAAATCATCGAACAGACACGGTGGAAAAAACATATTTAATTCATCTGTCTGGACAAAGAAAGACCACACAAGGTCAAACTAAGGAACAGTGAGGATATAATTACATAGCTAGAAATGTGGGTTTCAGAATGAGTGCTTGATGCATTCGATATTGGCTGGTACTCTGTTCACTGCTCCATCCCGTCTATGAACTGGCTAACCTGCCTGGTTCAGGAACTACAGGTCAGACGACGACGAACTAACATCACTCAGCGTGCCCAAGAACTTCCTGAAGGGACAGCCAATAAAATGCAAGCACTCAAAAAAAGAAAACCTGCTCACAGACATGTTGAGGAACTCAGGTCAGGTCTTTCAGTGTTTGCTTGACATTCAACATGTTGTGTTAGGCTAGCAGGAAGCAGGATGTGGAAAATCTAAGATAGTGAGAGCTGATTTATGTTCAGGCACCGTGTATTCGTCCACCTGGTCTGTGTAAAGAAGATGCATAGTTAAGGAAGACATTTTAACAGCCGACAGTTTGTATTCCTTCGACACTTGGCTCTCTCCATATTAACGGTAATAAAGCACAACAGAATGGGTGATATGCCATATCTGACCTCTGGAGTACCCAGGTGATGGTTTCTTTAAACCTGCTAGAAAAACATATAATTCCATTCAAAATAAATGGAGAGAAGTCACAGAAGACCTGCTGTCACTGTCATGATCACTAAGACAGTATAATTTAAATTTAGGAAAATAAGAAAACAGTCAAATCTGCCACTATGTCCTCACAACACTTTCTTAGTGTAGAGCAAACAAGAAATGTGTTGTACTGGAACGGCAGACAAATGCATAACAAAAAAACGTTCAACCTACGACAATGCTAATTTGTTTTTGTGCCTTCTCCAAGGAGAGTTATCAAAGGATATTCTAGGAAATCTATGTCACCAAAGTAAGAAGAGGATTCCTAACACACAACGATGGAGGGTGGATTTATTCCCCCTTTGAACGATGACAAAGACTGAAAGGGACACCAGAGCTAAAACTGTTTGTACAGACATGATTCACACCACTTCAGTCACTCCGGCAGGTCAAAAGCATTATTCTTGGCTCCAGACCACAGACCCAAGCCAAAGCAGACCAATGACAGACTTGAGATGGTGCCAGTGTGTTCAGGGCGTAATGTGTCTACAGGCTCGGTCAAAGTCACCACAGGCAGAGAGAATGATGTGATGTTCTCATGAGACGATTGACTGGTCACCAACTGTTCAGTGGTCACTGAGAACACATTTGTATCCAATGACTTTAAGTTATGTCTTTCAAAACCTTTAACTTAAGTAAACTTTACCCTGATACCTTCATTAGGGTAATGACTTATCCCCATCACAACCAGGTCTTTCCATTTAAAACAGAATTGATTAATATCGCAGATTGTGTTTACGGTTTTCTTAGAACCACCAACACCATAAAGTTTCATTCCCAGTGTGCAGTGCAAGTAATTAAGCTCAGTGGAAGGAGTCTTTTTTGCTGTAATTCACTTTGGCAGTTGTAATTAACTAAGTGTTTACTAACTTGATTTTTTTTTCAAAGACTGCTCATGCTTTTTTTTGTACAAGTTGCTGAAAGCTTGTTTAAGCAGTTTTTTGAAATAGAACAAGAAACGGAATTCCTCTGGGGCGTGATCAATGCTACAGGGTTGAAAAGTGTTATTAAATCCATGTATTTATATGAACTAAATCAGATCAGTAACTAGTTTAGCATAAAAAGGAGGAATATATGATGTGCAGGGTAATATATCTCTAACAGGAGAAGTTTCTTTTCTTGGAAATCAATTAGACGTCCAGCGCCGCCTCACACCGAGGTAATCAGTTCAGATCCTATAAATGCTTCTGTCTGTAATGAGGTTATTAGGGCTTTAACTGCCTTTGTATTCTCTAACTCATGTAGTGTGGTTCAGAGACACATGGCTTTTTATCATATGAGGATGACTTCATGAGCAGCTTCTTGAGGGGAGAAGAGTGGAAACAGGAAAACATACTGTTGTTTTGTGTGGAGCCTGCAGGGAGTGTTTCAAACGGATGGAGGGGTCACGCTATGCGCTCATATAAAAAAAGTGCAGACAATAAGCTGCTTGATTAACTCACAAAGGGATTTATCTTTCAGTAAGTCATCTATTGCTTGGGGGTTCCAAATGAATTTCCATGCTGGGGTGTGTTTGGAGGTCATGTGACAGCATGGTCCCAAACTACACAGAGAGACGCTTAGTCGGAATCTCAAAGTCACTGAAGTGAAATGAGCCATGAGATAATAAACAGCATTCTACTGCCTGCAAATTGATTTAGGAAATTGTCACTAAATGTTTAGCATTCCTTCCCTGACAGTAGCTACGGAGCATCTGTGCAATTCAATGGTTACTCAGAGGCATTGCTCATTTGACCTCTGTAGATTCATATCCTTTACTGAGCCTGGTACCAGACTGACTCATCCACGTTAGTATGCGGACAGGATGTCAACAATAGAGTGAAAGGGCGAGATGTTTCATGGTTATGTCACAGCTTGTGTGGGCAGATAACGTTCTCCAGAGGCTAATTCCTGACCATGCCCTTTGTAATCTCACACCTCAGGCCGCGCTGACCAGAGTGGACTGTGGTCACGGTGGTTGTTTAACAGGGGGATCTGCAGTCATGGTTCCCAGCATAGTGAGAGCATGGTGGGATGTGGGTGCTGGCAGAGGCTGCTTCTGTCAAACACTGTTTGAGGTAGGATGTGTGCAGGTTGAACTGAAACATTAAAGGGGCTTTTCTACTCCATAAAATAGAAGGAATGAACATATGTGAGCTTGTTTTTGTGATTCAGCCATTCAAAAAGAGGCGGCAATGTTTAAGCTTCAAGCGTTCTCTAACACAGCACTAAACCCCACTGTCAGAACTTAGAAGAGGTGTTGTCCTTAATTCTCAGTAAGCTCATC